AGGTTATTCTTGGCCGTTCCCGGGGTCTTTGGTCTGTCTGTTGAACAGATAGTAGCTGTTGCGCCTTCTTTTTCGGTAACAGTCGCACCACGTTTCCAAACAGACGAATTAAGGTGTCAAGAACGCGGAATAAACGTCTTTAGTCAGGTAATAGCTGATATCGTCTGTCCTATAACAGAGATGACTTAATGCTTCTTGTCGGTCTTCTCTGTGACTATCATTAGTCACGCATGGTCGACAATAAAATTGCGGATAGGACAACGGCAGTGAAACTAAACAGCAAATAGTTACAGCCAAGGGTGCACTATTTGTAGTAACCTTTGTTGATAGCTTCGCCTAATGCGCGATGGGGCGGCCCTGCGCGATCTGTTATATCATTGGTATGAGGTAGCTGGTGAATTCAACCATAGTGGTTTGTAGGATAGAACACCCACGTATATACTATCACTTGTTGTTAAGAATCCGCTTCCGGCTCCTCATATGCGAGGGTTGAAGGTTTCTTTATCCCTTAAAAAGATGATGAGTTTTGTTGCTAGTGAGATCGATCATTGGTTTACAGTTGATGCCTTGTGGAGATATCATATCATATTGTCTTATGTAATAGTAGCGCAAGATGTAACTTATCGTTGTACCATCAGCAGCTGAAGTGTAGCTTACGCATTCCTATGTTAATATTTTAAATTCAGATAGCAGTTCCCAGCAAGCCAGGTTCTATTAATGTAGTTTTTGGTAGGACTATTGCGAAAATTACAAATTACAAAACCGTTACGGTTCTTTTCAAAGTAGAAAACTAAAATTGATTGAATAATGACCTTTAAAGATTAAAGGTTGATTGATGTTATAGAATCACGCACAATGGAACAACACGTCAGAATTCACAAGCGAGAAAGTTGGTGTCAAGGTCGCGTTTTTCTGCTACTTCATTCTCTCGTCTTAGGGAAAAAGATAAAAGTTAACCACCATCCAGTGGTTGAGAGACCTGAAACCGTTGTTAAGCAGGATACTGTATTGCCAGTAGTACCCGCTGAAGAACCGACGTTGCCCGAGCCCGTTGAAGAGAAAAAGCACGTTGCGATTCCGGAAACGGTCACTGCTGTTAGACATCCTGTAGTCCCGAACTTCGTAAGTTTGCTGTAAATTTCTTTTTGTATTTTAACCGTACTGTAATATTGTACCGTATTGATTATATTGCGTATGCGCCCAAAAGATTAGATAGGAGGTTTGCAAAACAGCAAGCTGTTTTCGACGAATCTGTTTCATATACTAAGAAAATCACATATCATTTGTGCAAATCTCTGTTCTGTAGATGAACGAGCAAACAGAACCAGGTGATCACTGACTTCTGTGCACAGGTTTCCGATACCAGATATACCGATGCACACTTCGATGCTCGAAGAAGGTGTTAAGGTGTTCATAATAAACAGTTTGTTGTTTGCAAAAACCGCGATAACTTTATGCCGTTATTGTTTAGGTCATTAGGGCCATTCTTTCCCATCACATCTTTCCACTTTTCAGTGTCTGTTCCGACACGCTTACTGAAATGACCGATTAGAATGATCGATTCCGTAGTCGGCACTTCGTACGGAGCACTTTCCACGTTTTAAAAGAAGGACTTTTATTCTCCTCCAAATTGGGCACATTGACCTGTAACAAGTTAACGGTAAACCTAGGTAACAAGGTAACCTGTAATAATGCTTTAGCCTGTTGTGACATCAGTTGAAGGATTGCCATTCTTCCGCTGGCAGGCTTCCATTCAGTGGTTCTGTCAGCCAGGTTGGGTTCCACCAGAACACCAACACCGGCCTGAGCGAGGATCGTTGAGACGATCTTTGATAGAATAGCTTCACCCGAAGAGGTTAAGAATTCAAGAGTCTTGATGCTTTGCTGACGATAATCCAGCTATGTCGAGTTGGCACGTCGTGGCCTCATCTACTGGCTTCTCCTCTTTCCGTCCGAATGAAGAAATGTTCAGTTTTTCGTTTCTGAGCTCCCCTGTCATTGGCATTCCCGTGAATCTTATATGACGCTCTGTAATAGTGGGACGTGCATCTACCTCTGTTCAGAACGGATGACGGCGGCTCCGTTTCTTCACTTATATATTCGTCATCTTCTTGTCGTCCTTCGACGGTCCGTACTGCTACGCCTTCAACTTCCAGAAGGCATAAAGTTCTGCTGTATTTTTCGCAATCAGTTTCAGTATCCCCACAGCCTGCGCCGTCCTTTGTAACCTGAGCGATCAGTGAAGCAGTGCAACGTTCGATCGCGCAATACCATGAGGGGCAGATGGCTAAGTTTTGCGGGCTACTTCGCCACAGTCCTCAAACCTCGTTTCTCACTCAGGCTTGGACCTGCAACCACGGAGTTGTGGTATAATGTTGGTTAATAGCTTACAGCGGTTGCTGTTAGGTGTTTCATGGACATTTTATTTTGTGGGCATCGGATGTAATTTAGTTGAGTATTGATCGTCAAATAACCAAACAGACATGTAGTAACAGAAACTTCGCTGCTCATTGCTGGCTGTAGTTGTATTTCAGAAATAAATTAGTTATGTTTAACCTGTGTGCTTATTTTTTGAGCTACAACCAAGCGTTATTTTAGGGAGCCTTTGTTTCCAGTTCCAGCGAGGTGCCTGTAAGTTATGTTTGTTATCTCTGGCATGAAGGCACAAAATTGTTGGCAAAATTCTCCTTTTATTGATCTCTAATTATTTAATTTTCATATGGAACTTTTTGGGAGGCTGTTTGCACTTTTAATGAGTTTAGCTGTGAGTACATAGCTCGTGTTGGGGTCCTTTTCAGTATGTTGTTCATCGTAGGTATGCGGAAAGATATTTCAGCTCATGTAAGTTAGTATGATCAGGAATCATTTCTGTATACATAACGTAATTGTTGCTCTAAACGCACTTTTCGATTTGGAGTTAAGCGATAAAGCAGAAAGATATCCTCCATTCCCCAACGCTCACTTCCTACGTCAGAATATATAAGATACCTTTCTTTTTATAAATTTTGACTCGTCTTTTTAAATAAACTGATCTGTCAGTGTCATTTACTGTTACCTCATTAGTTGACCGCCTTAGATTCTTTCTAAATGTTGCAAATTTTAATATGACGACAGACGATGTAATAGATTTTCCCGTGGTTTCATTTGGGACCATTATGATTAGTAATCCGCCGGTGATTTTCAATTCACCCACTCAGTTTGCAGCTAGAACGCCTTCTTATGAAGAACTCTTCACAAACCATGCGGAGCTATATCAGCTACCGTGATTACCACTGTCTCATGCGTTAATCGATTGTTAGCGAGAAAGGTAAATTATACCATGATTCTCCCTTTTATGCGACCATTTGCTTAATCGTTACTTGCGTTTTTCGTGCACGTGACGAGTCGATTTATTGCAATCAGTGATTAAAATACGGTTGTTTTAAAAACATATGTCAAGAACAAGAACGACAGATTTACTTTCTTCTTAACTCAATGACTACACTGTCACTATAAAACCATCAGTGGCCTATTTAAGCAGTGATGGTAAACTTCGACGTAGTAGTGCAACAAAACCTACGCAGTCCATGAATTTCTCATGATTAGTGTAGGTTTTCTGTTACCATAGATTTATCCTTGAAGGTGACAAACTTACACGGTAATGATCAAACCATTTTGGATGGAATGATGAATATTTTTCAAGCGATTTTTGTTAGTCAATTTATCTTGTTGATAGACGATACTGTTTTAAGACCATTGCATCCGGGAAACGTTACTATTATTCTAAATGGTATGCTTATTCTCCGGCCATGCCTTATCCCTTTTGCTGTTAAAACTCAATACTTCATCCCTGCACTGATTTGTACTACATTTTAAGATTGTCATTGGCATATTAACCAGAGCCATGTTTTCTTCATTTCGGTAATAGTATGTCTTGTTTTTATGTAGTTTTCATTATTGTTACTGCCTTCTGTTGATTTTTTAATATTACATTTCAGAAGAAAAGCTACAGCTATCCTCATCACCTCAACGAAATTCGTAGCCTTGGTGTCGGCGTCAGCAGCAGCGGTGGTCAGCAGCCGGTGAGCCGAGAGAAGCAGACGACGTTAGGCGGCGGCAGCGTTGGGTTTCTTCAGTCCTTTGCGGACAACGCCGAATCTCGTCATGGAAGACCGCGGAAGTACGTCGTACGTCGTTAGACGCTTATGTCATCCGTATGGGCCGCTCAGGAACTCTTTGGATCGCCGCATGCTTTGTTGGCTTTGTACAAGGTTCTTTTCCAACCCTGGCTGCTGTTTTACAAGTGTTCCCGTTATCTCCTCATAACACCCTGATCACCTATAATGCCTAGAATCAGGGGAGGCGCATTCCTTCAGCGTTTGCTGAGACACACTGCCTCGCGCTCTTCTGAATCTCTTTGCTCTGTTATGTTGCATTGGCGTCTGCTGCGTGCATGCGTTGCACATATGCTTGTACTGACGTTCGTTTCAGACTGACAAGTCGAGTCAGTGAAATGTTCAAACAGGTGATACATCGCCAAGAAATTCGGGACCGGTCCGTGCATGATACTTCGACAACTTCTGCAGCAAGCCCTTTCCCACGTATTGATGAGGAGGTGGTCGATACAGAAGCCGCTGAGCAGAATGATCAACAAAGATGGTGCATTTGCAATCAAGTGTCGTACGGCGAAATGGTCGCTTGCGACAACAAGGACGTGAGTATTGCAATTTGTTAATGGTTAAAAATGTTGACAGGCATAGGCTAAGGACGATGTCACCTATCGTCTTGATAGGATAACATATATTTTATTGTTTCTCTGCTCGTTGGAATTACTTGCAACAAAGATGGCCTTCATTTTTTTTCTGAGTAATTTAGTGGCCTTTTTAAAGCGTAGTTGCCACGTTTTGTCCATACCATTTGTTGCGTTTGCTGTGTTCTCGTTTTTCAGGTTTTTATCGTCAAAAAGATGTGTGCATGGCCATTGTTATGTTTTACTTTTTATTAGCAACTCTCACCTTAAAGCTACACAAGTAATTTAAATATGTTAATAGATATGGCGTCTGAGCATTGAAATTTATAAGAACGTTTTCCCGCCATAGTCTTTATATTCTTGCTTTACACACCTGTATTAAATTCTAGTTGGGAAATGCTGCTTCTTGCGTGAAACCCAAAAGGAGTCATGTGATCATTGATACGTCTTTTTTGGTATAAACATTTTTAGATTTAAGATACTGCAAATCAAAAGGGGACCTTACCTTGCATATAGTGGCGTTTTTTGTTCATTTATTCGGGTTGATCTCTTTCATTATCTAATTAGCATAAATACGCAGGTTTTTAACGCAGCTTTGATGTGTTACAAGTTTTAATTGCACATTATGACCTTACGGTAAATGTTTTGTTTAGTGTCCTTTCGAGTGGT